GCAAGATTTATCTGTTGATTCATAACTTCTGATTTTTCTGACTGTGAACCTTTTTCACATATAAGACGACTGGTTCACATAAAATAAGGCGTTTTTATTGTCCTACTTTAATAGAGTAGATTTGACCAACAACGTAAAATTTACTCGTAAGTGGCATCTTCCCAAATTTAACTTTCAACCTAATTATATAAATGGAAAAAATACTTAAATGGAAAATGTCATTTAACTTGGCTACAACACAAAAGTATACAAGAACCAAAAATTATGACAAGGCCCCGAAGTCCTACAGGAGCTCGCTGAAAATAGAGTCTTCTAATGTGGAAGGAGCTATCCCGGCTTTTGAAATTCTGAAGCCAAAAGCTACCATCTGAATACAATTCATTAATGGGCCAATTTATTCAACACAAACCAATAAATACCCACCTAGTTATAAAAACAAAGTGTGAAACTCACAAATACAGCCCCAGGTCCCAGAACACGCAAGCATCATTAGCAATTTAAAGCCATCTTGCACAACAGGCACTAGAAGTGGTATGGAAACTTCCTTGACCAATATCATACTTGGAGTTGGCATTTCTACCCTCCAATCTCCACTAACCTAAACCTAGATTTTTAAACCTTTGCTCCACAACCCCAGGAAAAAGTAGAAAAATTTGAGAAACCAAGAAGTTATGAATAAATACAGAATACATGATTTGGACATATTTTAGGAAATTTACCAGCAGTTTTTTCATTAGCTCATCTCCCTCCTCCCCCTCGCTAACTCCCTTTCACATGCTAATTCATGCAGTACACACACACACACACACACACACACACACGCGCGCGCGCACTTTTGCTATAGAATTCAGAATGATTTATGGATTAGGAACATGTCATGTTCATATTCTGATTACATGAAACAGAAATGCTCAGAAAGAAGATAGTGGATGGTAAATATGAGATTGGAAATGTGGTCATCTCACACCTCAGCTGCTCAAAATCACCAATGAATCTGTTCATTGTTGCCTTTCACTGTTCTTTGGAGGTCACAGAACCTACTTAAAAAACACCTGTTTGCTGTTTTACTAAAGAACAACAGTACTATAGTATGTTTTTTTTTAAATGGAAGTAGAAAATTCTGAGGTGACTCAGAACTAACTTGACCTAAAGTCACAGAACTGAAAAGTTAGACTGTCATGGAAAACAACTGCTAATGTATTTTCAGGGATAAACATTCAGATGCTATGGTCTTAGCAAAAAAAGGGCATGATGTTATTTAGTGAACTCTCCAATTCCTCTAAAGTGTAATTATATAAAACATGCCTTTAATTACTTAGAGTGGCTTATTATCTTCCTTTGCTTGAAATATTTAAAAGTCTACTCCCTTATTCTCTTAAAATAAAATGAACAAGTGCAATATTCAGCATATACTTCCTCAAATCATTCATCTTCCTTTAAAATTATGACTAAGTGAGTTCATGTTTGTCATCAAAACCTAAAAACAACAACTGAAAATATCTAGCGCAGTCAGCACAGGGAATTCCTGGAAGGATGATGGTGCATCAAAAGGCTAGCAACTCTATTGCAAAAGAATAATAAAAACCATTAAAACCATTTAAAGTACTGTAAATTCAGCATCAGTGGCATTTCTGGCAGGAAAACATTTCTAAAATTCCACCTCCAGTTTATTTCTTCATGACACAAACCAAAAGACCTCCTATCTAGATAGCTATCTACTGCAAATAGTTCATATAAAATAGAAATCAGTCGCTAGGATAAAAAGCCAGGAGAATTCATTTTCTCTGCTTGGAACCTAAGCAGTTTCATTTACTTTTGGAGAAAAATATTAATTAGTAAGTGAACGAGAAAAAAATAAAAAAGGTCCCACCATTCCAAACTTTTTTTTTCTTTTTTGGTAATTCTTCTGTGAGCATGTTAAGTTATAAAAGATAATGAACATAAATTGTAAAACAGTAGACAATGCTCATTTTTACACTAGAAAATAAAACTTCCCACAGCAGTCTAATGTTTCACATATTTTCTTTAAAGCCCATCAAACTGCCAAAATCCCATTCTGTTTTCAACAAAAAGGAAATATTTGTAGCACTAAACTGGACTGATGCCACCTTAGCCTAAATGTATTGCTTGATAACATTCTTTTAAATGGTCCAGACCACTGAGGAAATGAGGCTGTGAAAGGGAAATTTGATTAAGAGTTAAAATTACCACTGAGTTCTTTAAAATGTACTAATGAATAATTAATAGCAAATGCACTTCGTAGGCTTCCCTTACAACAATATTCTCAAGTAGAACTGAAAGTACTGTCTGTAGTACAATCCATCAGCTACGTGTCGCACAGGTGGATACAGGAAGTATAGACACACAGAAAGGCATTATGAAAATACATACACTAATACGGGCCATAACATAGATCTAGGACTTGGGTAAAAAATCAGCATGATAAATTTCACATCGCGATTTACAACTTTAACACATTAACACCAAACCAAATCACCTCTTAAAAAGCTCACAAGTCAAAAGCACTAAAGAAATCCTTTGTTCCTATGATACTGTCTCCTTCTACGCTAACTGGATTCCAGCCTCCTCCTTTGTGACACGGGATTTTATTGATCTCAAACATGTTCACATTCAGAAATTAGTCTCCAAAGACATCCCAAGGGACTGCTAGCCACCTAGATACCGCACATCACAGACATCTCAGAAAAGGACAAGAGCTTTGAAAACATACCACTATTTAGTCAGCAACATTTAGTGAAGTTAACCAGGCTCTCTTGGAAACAGACTTTTCCCTTAACTGGTAAAAAAAAAAAAAAAAAAGATCTACTCAAACTGGCAATAAATGTTTGATGAGTTAATAAATATATAAAGGTGCAGATCCACCCCAAGATTTCTCCCCTTGTGTAGCTCCTTATTCATTCAACAACTGAGCACCCAAGTGACCTATTTTCAGGTTACTTTCTTCACACCTGCCAGGTCACTGTCCTGATTGAGAAACTTCTTGCTAAAGCAATTAATTTTTCGTGCCTCCTAACTGTCCAGGCTGTTTGCATTCAATTTGAAATCTGTTACTTGTTAGACACTGTTCGGTCCTAGATCTTTCAGAGAACTGCGCATTTATGGCGCAGAGAGGGGAGGAGACAAGGATCTCCGAGAGCCTGCCCTTTATTCGGAAATGAGGAGATTTGAAAGGTGGAAGGCAGGGCAAATAAATAAATAAATCGGGTTTGCCGCCGAAGCGTTTGCGGGACGGTACGAGCACCCTTTGTAATGCAGGCCTCCCGGGGCTAACGCCTGCGCTAATTGCTCCAGGGCGCTTTCCAAGTTCAAAAGTTCACCTTTTACGACCTCACAAAAGCTCCTTACACGTTACCAATAAAAACATTCCGCGGCAAACACTGAGGGGGAAAATATCAAACAGATACAAATAAAACACCCTGCGGGGGTAGCAGAGAGCCGGTGGGGGGAGGAGGGTGAGTCGGGCCCAGCCACAGCCCCGAGGAACCTGAGGACTCGGCCCGGACGTGGGGGCAGGGAGAGAGCGGTGGGAAGGGCCAGGCCAGGTGAGGAATCCTCCGGGCCTGGGCTCCGGGATCGCGAAAGCAAGAGGAGAACTGAGGTTGGGCAGGCGCGGGCCGGGACAGACGGGTTTAAGAAGGGAAGAGGCAGGTGTCCCGGGCACCCGGTCGGGCCGGAGCTGAGCCAGCGGGCAGAAGGGGCTGAGCAGGGCGGGGGAGCAGGCGGGCAGGAGAGCGCGGGGAAGGAGCGCAGAAAGGCGGGGTGCGGGGTCCGAAAGAGAACGGCTGAGCCGGCAGCTACGGAACTGGGGGTCGGCACCGAGGCGGAGGCTGGGGCAGCAACGGAAGCGCGGCACCGCAGAAGAGAGGGAAAGAAGCTCCATAAAGGTGAGGGGCAGAGAAAACCAAGGGGTCGAGGGTGTGGCGGCGGCAGGGCGCAGAGGGAGAGTCCACGGAGGGAGGAGGGCTCCGCGTGGGGGAGAGTTGTGGGGGTAGGGGAAGGGGCTCGTCGCCGAAGGGACCGTTTGGGGAAGAGACCCCCACAGAGGGG